CCATACTTTGTCAACAGGACCTAGAGCTTCCAACCCCAATCTTGGGGATGAACCAATACTGACGACGAAAAAGAGGTTTGAACACTATAGCATTTCTGGCCATCGCTGAGACCTTGGAACGGCCCTAAAGTGCACCGATCTCATTCATATGGCTAGCAGGTGGTGCGTTTGGCGTCCATTATCAAAGCATGTACATGCGCCCGTTTGCTGCACTCATCTTGTCCGGCAGCGTTCCGAACGTGTTCGTCAGGGAATTGTCGAGATGGCTTTGCATCAAGGTCTTCATTTGCCTGCGAGACAGCCTTCTCGGCCGCACGCAATTACTGCGCCACTTCGAGGCAGGGCTTTCCGGACTCGATCATCGCGATAGCCGAATTGAGATGGCCGTTCGCCCGTTTCAGACGTTTGACGATGTCGGCATGGGAAGCGTGAAGGTGTCGGGTCATGCGTCAAGGGGCGATGTCATCGCCTCTTTACGCAAGCTCAGTTGAGATTACGCAGTTTGTTGTACTGACTGCCGATCCTCAAGGTCACCGTGACGTCCTCGTCGCCGCGATTGCCCAAGAACCAGCGGTGTGCGCCTGCAAACGACGCTTGGAGATGGGCGCTGTCGCCGGCGATGTCGCGGACCTGTTCGTAGGGGACGGACTGCACACCCCTCTCCGTGGGCGCCGAAGTTGATGACGCCGCCACTGAGCAATTCAAGGACAGCGGCCGACCAGGTCGGCGGGCCGGCCCGCCTGCATAGCAGGGTCATGGTTCGTTCCGTGATATATTGGGCTTGCGCCTTTGCGCACGTCGGATCACGAAAAGTAGCCGAGAGGCAAGTCGGGTCCTCGCGGGAGGACGCCCGGCAAGATGGGTAGCATTCCGGGTATGTATGTTTGCAGAAGCGCGAGATGAGTCAGCGAATTCGTCGAAAGAGGGGTCAGAACGTTGTGAACATGGTCGACCGCATCGTGCGCATACGCGAACTCCCCGCTATGCGCATGACCGTGATCCTCGATCGCATCGAGTAGCCCTCCTGGCCGAGAAATGCACTGCATTGGTTGCGATCGGTGAGAGCATTCTGAACCGCATAATACCAAACTCGAACAGCACCGTTTAGACGTGGCTAACCAATAGCATTTGTCAACATAAGGGATTGAAAAGCCACATGTGACCAGAAAGCCATCTACACCGGACCGCCGGCAACCGATGGGCAGGCTCCAAACGGGTCGAGGGGATTGGTGCGCGGATCGTTTCGGTTGAATACGTAGCGTTTCTCGCACACATCCCAGTCGGGTGGTTGTCGTGTCCGCTCGAACACATCGGTGCCTTCCTTGAGGTTGGTCCAGAAGGAGGCGTGGGGGCTCGAAGCGTTGGCCGATATATTGGCGTCCGTCATGCGAAACGGCAGCAACTGCACCTGGAACGACCGATTGCCCCCCGAGAAGACCTCGCGCGCCAGGGCGTAGATTTCCTTAATCTGATCGTCCGTTACCGCATAGCAGCCGACCGACTTGCAGTCGCCGTGGATCATCAGGTTCGTGCCCGTGCGGCCCCAGGCCTCGTCAAATTTGTTAGGGAACCCCACGTTGAACGAGAGCCAGTAGGAGGATTTCGGATTCATGAGCGCGGGCGTGACGTCGTAGAAGCCCTCGGGGGACTGGTAATCGCCTTCGCGGAACTTGGGTCCGAGCTCGCCAGACCAGTTGCAGACCTCATAGGTCTTGAACAAGGCATAACTGCCGGTATACGTCCGTTTCCAGACCTCCAGCTCCGAGGTCTGCTTGTAGACGCGGATGACCATGGGCTCGGACGGCGACGATCCCATGGCAGCGAGGCGCTGCAGCGTGTCGGGGCTAAGCGGCACCATGTGGCGGTTGTCTCCGACGAACTGGCTGCTGCAGGCAGAAAGGACGATCACGGACATCAGCAGGGCGAAGGCGCGGAACACGAAGTGTGGCATGATGGTCTCGTTCATTTTCGGCAACCATAAGGTGGTGGGGTTACCGGAACGTAGCCCGTGCCGCAGATGTGATCTACGGCATCGGAAGGGGCATTAGCATCAGCTCGTTCGCCGAAAGGAAACGCCATTGAACATCGCGGGGATCGCCGATCAGCATTTAATAGAAATGTCGGAGATCTTCCGCCTATTGGGGGACCCCAGCAGGCTCAGAATCTTGCTATGCTGCCACGATGGAGCCAAACCCGTAGGTCGGATCGCTCAAGAGCTCTCGCTGCCTCAACCCTTGGTAAGCCGCCACCTGCGGCTTTTGCGCGGTTCGCGGATGGTTGCGCGCGAGCGTGACGGCAAACAGATGTTCTACAGGGCCGCGGATGGCCAAGTCCGCAGCATTTTGAAAAGTATCGTCACCAATCTGAACGAACGATCTCTTGCTTGATTTTGGGGGATGATGGCAGGCCAGCCGTTGAGGCTCTGCACCGCGATGGGCTTGCCCATGGTGATCTCAAGCCAGCCAACATCTTGGTCACAATCATTGCGGATGTTCCGTCTCCAATGCTTCTCGACCTGCTTGACTACTCGACCGAGGAAGCAGGCGATCGGTTGACGATGGCCTATCAACCTCCCGACCATGGCGACGACGCCACCTACCGAGACCGCTATGCCGTCGCAATGATCGCTGAGGAACTTGCGATGGCCTGGACGCAGGGGCATCCCGGAGAGGTGTGGGGCGCTCTCGTTACTGCGGCCAGCGAGGAGTGCGGGAAAGGTGACAATGCATGGGAAACGCTGCGCCCCCTGCGAGAAGCCATCAAGAAGGGTCCACAGCAACAACGGGCGGACGAAGGTATCGCCCTAACAGTGGCAATCGCGCGGCTGCGCGAGCCGGGGCCCTTGCTTGCCGACAATGGAAAATACCATGTCGTGGAAAGGCCCGATCATCGGCTTGAGATTGTGGGGTTCGACAGCAAGCTTGAGATACTGCTCGACGGGGAAACCGGCCTCCCCCTCAGCGCCAAGGTGCACACCGTGCCTGCCCGCTCTGCGGGGTGGGCGGCACGCTATTCGACGCTGTCCTTTCCCGGCACGGTAACCCTGACTGCCGGCGACAAAGGGTTTTCAGGTTTTGAAGCATTGCGCGAGGCGCTCGCGCGTCCCAAGGCGGCGACCGACGAGATCGCGCCCTCGGTCCTTGCTTTGCCTCACCGCCCGGACACCGGTGGGGGCACTCGTTTTCCGGTCGCGCGGTTCTGGCAGGAAACCATCACGGTCGAGGAAGACCTGCAGCCCGAGGTGACGTTGAGCGAGGCGGCCAAGGAAACCGGCGAGCGGTTTCGGATAATGCTTTCTTGCCAGGAGGTTGTCGACTGGGACGCCATGGAAATCGCGAATGGCTCCGCCATTAAGATCACTTGGAATGGCGAGCTGGTGGGCTTGGTTGACCAAGACCGCTCCAGACGTAACACCATTGTCGTCCGGGATGCGCGCAACTTTAGACGTCTGGCGGCAGGGGACACTTTACGCCTACATGCTTCTGATGACCTGTCGAGCTTCCGCCGTCGCTCTCAGGCCGTCGAACGCGTCCTTACGGGTCGAAGCCAGATCGGCAATTTGATCAGCTATTTCGACCCGGAAGCGCGGATCGAACCACTACGCGTCGCGTCCGAGATTCCGGAGGACGCGCTTGAGACCTATGGACTTAATGCAGATCAGAGCGAAGCCATGCAGCACCTCTGGCAGTTTGGCCCTGTCGGTTTGCTTCAGGGTCCGCCAGGCACGGGCAAGACCAAGTTCATCGCCGCCTTCGTGCATTGGGCGCTCAACGGCGGAAAGCTGAACAACGTTCTAGTTCTGTCGCAGTCCCACGAAGCGGTGAACACTGCAGCCGAGCGTGTTCTCGGCGTGTTCGGCAAACTTGGCGGTGACCTAGATATGCTAAGGGTCGGCCGCTATGACAAGATCTCACCGCAGCTCCGCAAGTATCACTCCCAGGCAGTTCAGGACCGTTATCGCGAGTTGTTTCGAGCGGACATAACCGCCCGCATATCGGCCGTGGCAAAGCGCCTCGGCCTGCCCGCCGCATTCGTTCGTGAGGGCCAGGAAGTCGAGGCGACATATGCCACGTTGGTGCGTCGCATGTTCTACGCACGGCGCGACATCGCTGATAGTGCGACGGACGATGTGGTGACCGCAGCCAGGCGAAGCTTGGGCGCACTTGAACAGGCCTTCTACAAGATCCTCGACGCTGACGGTGTCGAGCGCGAAGGCACACCTGAGGAGATTCTTGAGGAGTTGCGAGAGGAGGTCGCTCGCAGCCACATGGTCAGTGACGTAGACGCGCAGGAACGCTTGACTGGCCTCAGCGCCATGTCGCGAGACTGGATCGCGGGACTAGGGGGTCGACACCGCAATCTGGAAGAGTTTCTGGCAAGAAGCCGCAATCTCGTCAGCGGGACCTGCGTGGGCATTGGCAGGCACGATCTTCGCATCGAACGAAGTGTTTTCGATCTCGTGATCATCGATGAAGCGGCACGTTGCACGCCCAGCGAACTGGCTGTTGCCATGCAATCGGGTAAGCGCGTGCTTCTGGTCGGGGATCACCGGCAGCTGCCTCCTTTGTTTGGCCATGAGTTGATGAAGGAAGTACGTTCCCGCATTGCGGGCGTCACACCACGCGAGCTCAGACGTAGCGACTTCGAGAGAGCCTTTGGGTCAAGTTACGGGAAAGGCGTCGCACGGACGCTCAAGCGGCAGTACCGAATGGCCCAGGAAATCAGCGACCTTATCTCGGAGAATTTCTATACGGGTCAAGGCCTGTATGCAGAACGGCCGACGCCTGATCAAATTTACGACCAGTTGCCTGCGCCCTTTGACCACCAGGTGGCCTGGGTCGACACCTCGAGCGGGGGCCAAGAAGGCGAAAGCGGCCATAGTTTCACCAACCGGCGTGAGGCTCATACGGTCATCGAACTGCTGCGTGCGCTCAGCGCCAAGGAGGAATTTCTGGCCGCGGCTCCGGAGACGCTCGAACTGGAGCCAGAAGAGGCACTCATCGGGGTTATTTGCATGTACGCGCAGCAGGCCAACCTAATCGAGGAATTGCTGACCTCGTCGGGCCTGCCAGCCTCCTTCCGTTCGATGGTGCGCGTCGACACCGTCGATGCATATCAAGGCAAGGAGAACAGGATCATCATCATTTCACTGGTCCGAAACAATCCTGACTCCAGCATGGGTCACGTGCGGAGCGACAATCGCATTAACGTCGCTCTATCTCGCGCGATGGATCGCTTGGTGATTGTGGGATCGGTGCGGATGTTCGAGCGAAAGGGCAATCCGCTTTCGCCAGTTCTCAAATCCCTGCGGCAGCGCCAGCTGGTGCGGACCAGCCAGCAATTGGGGCTCACCCGATGAGCGGTCTCAAGGACGGCCCCGGTCCTCAGTCCGTTTTGATCGACGAGCTTTCGTTCGCCGTCCGCGCCACCAAGTTCCGCCTCGCGGCGACTTTGATGAAACGGACGATTATCCCGCTCGCAACTGAGTTCGCCCTCCGGTTGATCCGGCTAATTCCCGGGGTCACCGCTGAGGATCTCGCAGCATTCTTCGGCTTCCGCGAAGCGGAAGTCCGTGTTCTCATCCAGGACATGCTAGAGACTTCGCTCGTACTCGAGCGGGACGGTAGATTCCAGCTGTCCGCCAAGGGACTGGAAGCCGTCTCCCCTCTGGGCGATGTGGAGTTGTTCGCGGCAGAAGAAGTTTCGGCCCAAATGGTCCTCGACCTCATCGCCTTTGCGCCGATCGAGGAGGCCGAACTCGACAAGGCCTTGATAAAATGCGTACCGGAGCTACCACTGCCAGACCGCCAACGCGCGGCAAACGCACTCTCAGAAGCACCGCGCGCATTTGAATATCACTTCCAGGAGTGGACGCAGCGCTTCCGCAAGCGAAGCGACGACATGCGCTTCCGTTCAGTCGAAGACGTTCAGCAGATCAGATCCCTGTCGGTGCCAATCGCCGTGCCGATCAATTACCGGCTTGATGAGCCGAGCGGGGCAGAAGCCGACTTTTCTGCGCTACGCCAAATCGGCATCCCCAACTCGCGTAATACTCTGATCGCGAGCCTGAGCGCGGAAATCCAACGCATCGGCGCGTCGAACGATGCCGACTGGTCGTTCAAGACGCTCGCTGATATCGACGGCGGCGTCTTTAGCCGACTGGGTCTCGACGACCTATCTGGTGTCCCAAGCTGGATCCGCTCAGTCGTGGCAGCAGGAACACCAGACAATGATGCCCACACGATTCCGATTCTCGGCTCGGTCGTAGGAGAGCGTACCAAAGTAGGCCTTGTCGAATGGGTGACCCGTTTGGCGAGTCGGAGCAATCCTGGGCCGCTGTTCTGGCTCCCGCCGCAGCTCGATCATTGGGGGCGCAGTGTCGCGTTCGATTCCCTAGTGCGCGAACTGCGCGGCGTGCTCCCTGACGGGATAACCTTGCTAATGCGCACCGATAAATCAGAGCTAGAGCGACGGCGGATTGTTCGGCACTTCGGTCCCTCCGAGGAGCACATCAGATTTGACCGCTGCCTCGGCCCAAAGATTTCTACGCTAGGAGCGCTCGAGATCGTTGTCCAACCGGGCAGCTTCGCAATGGCCTTGGTACACTCGGCAGATCCGCGGACCGGTTACCCGCTTCCGGTTGGCTATCTCTCCACCGACGCATTTGTTGTCAAAGAGCTCACTTACTATCTGGGCGGCCTCCTTCAGGATATCGACTCATCGAGCGTGATCTGGCGTCGCGCCGCGGAGTCAAATGAGCACGCCTTTGATGACAGCATGGGTTCACTCTGGCCCCGACTGGCCAAAGTTTCGATATAAATTCTGGTCAACTTCTTGCTACTGACCAAAATTTGTATATATTATTTGGTCAAAGGTGACCAGAATGCCCGATCCCCGTTCGGACACAGTTGAACGCATCAATAACAGAATTGCCCGGGCCGCGCCCTCGGGTGTCTGGTCGCGCGCTGACTTTCTCGATATCGGCACGCCAAACGCCGTCGAAAAGGCGCTTCAACGGCTCACCAGCAGCGGTCAAATTCGCCGTCCCCATCGCGGTCTCTATGACAAACCTGGTGAGAGCGGCCTGACGGGGAAAATGGTGTTTCCGCCACGCGCATCCTTCGTCGATGCGATCGCGCGGCGCGACAAACTCCGCGTACTGGTCGACGGAATGACGGCGGCCAACGATCTTGGCCTCACGACGGCCACGCCGGCGCGGTCCACGATCTATGCCGATACCTACCCTCGCACAATAGCAATCGAAGCCAATGCCGGGGACCCGCGAGCAACCGCGCCGGTCGTCTATGTGCTCGATTTCAAACGCATCTCCGCCAAGTCCGCCTTTTGGGCGGGACGGCCGGCCATGCGCGTGATCCAGGCGCTGGGCTGGTTTCGTGATGATCGATCAAACCTCGACACCATCCTCAATGGCATTGTGCGCCACCTCTCGAAAAGCCCTCAAGGCGAAGCCATCATCAAGGACCTGCGCGAGAATATCGCTGCACTGCCGGCCTGGATGTATCCGATAATCACCGATATCGAGCGCAACGTGACCACTAAGGGCGCGGAGGACGGCCCCACCGGTTAAGACGATCCAGAGGGAAGGCATGTATAAGGCGTTCATTGATATCCTTCGCTCCCAGGACGAGGAGCGCATCGCGCTGTTTTCGAGCGTTGCTGCGAGTCTCGAAACGCGCGCAGAGAATGTCGAAAAGGACCTCTATGTCTGCTGGATGCTGGATTTCCTGTTCAACCGCCGCCAGGGCGATCCGATCGGGCTCTACTTCAAGGGTGGCACCAGCCTCAGCAAGGCTTATGGCCTGATCCGGCGCTTTTCCGAGGACATCGACATCGGCATCTATAAGGCCGATCTAGGTGTTCCCCTCGAGGCCGATATCGCCGCGCTGCCCTCGGTCAACCAACAGCAAAAGACGCTGGCAAATCAGGTGGACGAAGCGGCGCGAGTCTATATTTCGGGACCGCTGAAAGACCTGCTGGCCAAGGAGATTGCCGCGGTCGAGGCGGCTAGCGGTCAAGAGGGCCTGTTTTCCATCGAGTTTGGCTACGACGCCTATCGCGACAAGGACGCACTCGACATTCTGGTCCTCCGCTATAGGAGCGTCTTTGACACGAGCGGAGGCTATGTCGAAGCAGCGGTTCGCATAGAAGGCGGTGCCCGGCCCGATCCCGTTCCGGCCGAGCCTCGGCAGATCGAACCCTATCTTGCCTCGGAAATGCGCGCGGGGGCGGACCTGACGGTGCATGGTGTCATGACCGTCAAGCCGGAACGGACCTTCTGGGAAAAGGTCTTGATCCTGCATGCTATGACCGAAATGAGCGAAAAGCGTAGCCTTGAAGGCAACCCCGAACGGCCCGTCCCCGATCTCAATCGCTATTCACGCCACTATTACGACGTCCACCAGATATGGACCCATCCCGACTATGGAAGGGTCACGGCCTCCGCGCTCGAGCTTGCCGAGGCGAGCCGTCAGCACAAGGAGCTGATGTTCCGGGCGCCCGATCACCGATATGACCGCGCCATACCGGGCAGCTTCCGACTGGTGCCAACTGCGGACATGGGCAAAAAGCTCGCGGCCGACTATGAGCGCATGTCGGCGATGATTTTCGGCACGGCGCCCAGCTTTGAGGCCGTCATGACGAGCATCGAAGAGCTGGAGAAATTCCTCAACCTGACCTTACCCACTGTTGGAGCTTAGGCATGCTTCGTTCGAGACGGAGATCGATGATGCAATTGCCATATTCCATCAACCTGCTTGGCGCCTACGAAGTTGAAACAGGAGACGTTGCCACTCAGGATGGCGAAATTATTGGCACTTGGACGCTTATTGATGGTGCGCTGTACGACTTCACGCCGATGGACGGAGACCAGCCAATACTTACAGATCCATTCGTCTGGAGCCTATGCAGCCGGATAGGCGAATGGCTTGAGGCTCAGGCAGCCTGAACTTGCCGTTAGTTGAACTGGGCGGGGGTGTGGACAGCACTAGCCTTCGGCAACGCGGCGACTTTAAGTGTCGAGTAGGCATTTGCAGAAAGCCTACTGTTCAGCTGGCACAGCTGAACAGTAGGGCAGCGAAAGCGTCCGATTAAATGTTCCCAGCCGCGTGCTGCCAGCCTTCCTCGTAACCACTTATCTCCGACGATTTCCAAGTGTTTAGGACGACACTTTCGGTGCCGTTTTCCTGCAGGAAAGCCCGCAATGTGTAAGCGAGCATGTGCCCGCCTACGCCGACGCGCTCTTCTACCGGCAGCGCCTCGTCGGCTGCTTTCTGCGCCTCGATAATCGGCAAATAGTCATCGGGAAACGATCGGACTTCGAAGCTGGAAGCATCGATCGGCGGCTTCACTGCATACCCGTAAGCCAATTCTTCCGACTGGAAGTTACTGCTCGAGCGATACACGAAGACGCGCATGCGGCGCTCAACGCGGTCGTATCCGAAATGGTACAGCGTTGTACTTCCTGACAGCCCGCGTTCGTCGGAGAACTGCTGATACATTTCAGACAGAACTTCAGCCGCGAAGACATCCAGATGAGGGATGTCACGAACACAAAAATTGGTGTTCGCATGCATCGACCATGTTACGATAAAAGAAGCGTAGCCAGTTCCAGCGACGATTCCCTCAAGATGAGGCAGGCAGAATGCCTTTGAGCAGTAACCCATTGGCATTTTGTCGTTGGGATCACTGAAGGTGCTGTCTGTGACGATGAAAATGTTCTTCTCGTCGAACATGAAATTCAAAACTGTCATAGGCGGAACCGCTTCCGATAGTTCGCCGTATCTCGGCTGTCGTTGAGGTTGATGACTGTGATCTGATCAGATATTGCGTCAAAGTGGTTGTCGAGCGTGATGAGCCACGCATCCTCGACTGCCGCGATGCACGCAATGACAAGATCGGCCCCCGTAGCCTTTTGAAGCCCTCGCGGTCGAAAAAGGTGGAGGCCCTACCGATAAATTCTTGGTCAACGGGATACAGGGTTTCGTTCTCTCCCATGATCCAGAATTCTCGCAGCGTCATGATGCCCTTCTCGTGCTTGCGAGAGATGGCATGGGATACCTCGAAGGCACTTATCGCGGGGATCAGGTTTTTGTACGGCCCCTCGATCCAGCTGTCGGAAAGGTCCTTCCACAAACTGAGTCCAGGTGAATAGCCGTCTTCGTTTGGCTCCTTGATGTTCACGACGGCAGAGGTGTCCCAGACCAGTCTTCTCACTGTGCTGCCTCGGTAGGTGTGGCGCTCGCACCGGGCGGAAGTGGTGCCGGCCCGGGACCGAAGGCGACCCACGCCGCAAGGGTCGAAAGTTCGCTGTGGAGGTCATGGGCCTCACGCATGAAGGGCTCGATGTCCGCTGCATCCCAGCGCTTGATCTCGCCTTTACCTTTGGTGATCGGGTCCGAGGTATTTGGATCGAACGTGAAATGACTGTGTGCGAAATTATTGCGCTGGCCGGCGAGGGCGTTGATGCGGGCGATTGGCACCCTCGGAAACTTTGGCTCGGATGTTAGCAGAAGCGCTAGCGCGTCGACCCTCCCCGACAACTGCTTATTGAGCGTTGGCTTGATCAGATCCATCCGGTCTCGCTGGTACAATATTGACCCGATCAGTTCGGAGACGTCATTCTCGATTTTGTTGAAGGCTAGCAGAGCACCGCCGATCTGCTGTAAGCGCTGTCCCACCCCCATCTT